GGCCTCGAGTTTGTTAGATCTCGGGGCAATTGTTTGCCCCCTAACTCCCCTTGCCCCTTCGGAGGGGGGGGGAGGGGTGTAGGGTGTTTATGTAACTTCAGGGCACTAATCCCCCCTAGCCACTGGGCACGGCGAGAAGGCACCCCTAAGCATACCTAATTCCCTTTCAACACAAACTAAAATATCTAAAAAAAATGGTGGCTGTTCATCTCAACCCACAAGAGTTAAGAGATGATGATAATAACATGTAAAAATGGAAAATCATTTACAACTACACCATTATACCAGTAATTTTTTCCTTTCATCGACTTCACTTGAATTTCAGTTGTATCAGTTTTGTCTCTTGTTGGGTACAAGTTGTTCCTCTATTGTTTTCGTAAAGGGGCCTGATAGCTGAGTGGACAGCGCTTGGGTTTCGTAGTCCTAAGGTTTCGGGTTCGATCCCCAGTGGAGGCGGAAACAAATGGGCAGAGTTTCTTTCATCCTGATGCACCTGTTTACCTAGCAGTAAATAGGTACCTGGGAGTTAGACAGCTGCTACCAGTTGCTTCCTGGGGGTGTGTAACAAAAAAAGGAGGCCCTAGTCGAGGACCGGGCCGCGGGGACGCTAAGCCCCGAAATCATCTCGAGATAACCACGAGATAAGATGCCTTCTTGTCTCTCTCTCCTCATCTGCTCCTTCATTGTGGTGTTTGCTCGTCTTCTGTTTGTTGCTGCCACTGGAGGCGGCTAGTTTATTGTGCACCCCATACTCATCCTGTGAGCGGTAGCGCAAAAAGCATTACAGAGGGCACAAAAGGTCTTTATCAGACCTCATCTTAGATTATTACATAAACAATTTCATCTATCCTTCACACCTTATAGTTACAATGTCAGCTAGTTACAGAGAAAGTGCTATTTTCAAGAGCTATATATTTACAGTAAGTCATTCTCTTTGCATTCTACCATTATTTTATTCCAGTTTGTTAATACGTGACTGAAGCCCCATACTCTGCTAGTACTTATGAAACAGCTGATTGTATAAATAAATAAGTTATCATGTAAACAATTCTTCAACTCACCAGGTCTCACCCCCTCTCCCTCCAGCTTTCGCCCCTCCCTTTAAGGGAGCCGGCGGCTGAGCGGACAGAACACTGGACGCGTGATCCTGTGGTCCCGGGTTCGATCCCGGGCGCATGCGAGAAACAATGGATAGAGTTTCTTTCACCCTGATGACCCTGTTACCTAGCAGTAAATAGGTACCTGGGTGTTAGTCAGCTGTCACGGGGCTGCTTCCTGGGGGTGGAGGCCTGGTCGAGAGGACCGGGCCGCGGGGACACTAAAGCCCCGAAATCATCTCAAGATAACCTCCCCCACTTTTCCTCTAGCTCTCCCTCCCTTTTTCCTTAGTTTCCACCCTCTATTCCCTAGCCCCATTTTTCCCCTTATTTCTCTTCTTCCCGTTTCCCCCATTTTACCCAGTCTCATCCTCCGATTTTTGCATATAATTTTATCTGAGAGAAATGGGAGAAGGTGATAGAGAGAGGAATTAGAAGTGGAATGATAAGGGGGTGGCAGGGAAGATGATGATGATGATGGTAAATGAAAGAAAGGTAGATGATAAAACTAAAAGGGTAGAGGAAAGGACAAAGTAATGTATAGACCAAAGGAAGAGAGGAAGGGGGGTTTAAGGATAAAACAAAAACATGAGGTATGAGGGACATAAAGGGTGAAGATAATGAGAGGTGAGCGGCAGGTGAGGAAGGGTTGATGAGGATGAAAAGTGAGATGGGCGAGAAAAGGTTAATGGGAATGCAGGATGTGATAGGTAATGGTGAGGGTGGTTGAAGTGTCCCGCTGGTGATGACCATACCATGGCTCCAGGCGATCATTCAACGACGAACGAGAAACCCTCCCCTACCATGAGCGAGGGTCTAACGAGGCTATTACCGGATTAACGAGAGGCGAGCCCAAGTGGTGTAGTTAAGAATGAAGACTTTAAAGAGCCAGAAGGCGGCCTCGCGCGATGTAAACAGCCTTAATTAAAGGGAGATTAAAATTACACGTTCGCTTGTTTGCATGTCTTGTGCGGCCAGACTCCGGCTCCTTCCTGCCATCCATCATAAGTCTTGAGACCAGGAGAGGAAAGGCAAGGAAAGGGGAGAGGCAAGGAAGTGGAGGTAGATCGAGAAAGAGAGGAAATGGAAGGAGAAAAATTGAGGGGGGGGGGGTGATTGAAGGTAGGAAAGGAGTAGAGGTGTGACGGTGCAGAGCAGGAGAGGAAGTGGAGGGCGGAGGATAAGCTGAGGGATGGCTGTTGAAGGTGAGGTGAGCCAAGACAGTAGTAGGACATACTAAGGATGAGGGAGATGGAAAGGGAGAAGATGAGAGGTAGAGGTGGGGGGGGAGATGAGAGGTAGAGGTGTGGTGGGGGGGGTCTTCAAAGGTAGAGGTCTTCAAAGTTCTAATATTTCATTACAGCACGAATTGCATTTTAAAAAATAAGTAAAAAAAAAAGGAATTAGGTTGAAGGAGAGAGAGAGAGAGAGAGAGAGAGAGAGAGAGAGAGATAGAGAGAACACCGTAAGCAAGTGGGGAGCCAAAAATCATTAAGAGGCCAGTAGGTTTGGGGTTAAGCCCGCCTGGCGATCAGCGGCCGAACACACTTTTCGGAATTACTTAAAGAGAATAAAGCCAGGAGCGAGAAAGGAAGAGCGGAAGAGAACGAGAGAGAGGAGATCAAGCAAACGAACGAGAGAGAGAGAGAGAGAGAGAGAGAGAGAGCGAGCAAGTTAGGGGGAGAGAGGGAGGTGATAAGGAAGTAACAGAACGTTCGAGGATAGCACTAATAATATAATTAAATCAAAACGTCACTGTTCTTTAGGAATATAAACAAAAACCTTGTGGAGCACTTCAGCCCTGGCGATATGTCCCACCACATGGTCTCTCTCATAGTATTCATGATCATATTCAAAGGCCATTTCTTTGCACAATGCATTATTTTATTCACTTTCTACGTCGTTTCACCAGTGGCGTGTATAGTGTATGACCATAGTGTGGCATGGTGTGAATATGGTATCATAGTATGGTGTAGGTAGGAAGGTATGGAGCTCAGAACATGATGGACTGGATGTGAGTGATATGAGACATGATGGTGGGTATGGTGAGCATTATTTGGGCTTTTGTGGCCACTATAATGAGGGTAATACGCATGTGGTGATGGTGGTCATTATATAATGGGGTAATGCTACATGAGGTGATGATGAGTGTGAACTCTGCGTAATGGGGAAATAAGTTTGTGGTGATGGTGGTGGCTGCTGTATGATGGGGCAATAAGCATATGGTGGTGATGGGAGTTCCATAACTACACTAAGGAAAAAAGATACTGAGATAAACAAACTTCTCCAAGATAATGTTTCTCCAAAGATAATATTTCCCTGTGTATAAGTACACTCTCACCCAAACACCATACTCCTTCCTCCTCGGCAATGACGTTAGGATTTTATTATCGAATGAGGCCATGATAGTGTGTCTAACTGCCTTCGACAGGGTGTCGACAAGTTCCAAGTAGCACGGGCTATGGTGAGCCCGTAGTGGATTTACCAGGCACAGGAGCTGTGCTATGTCTCCTTCCGGTGTTCTACTGTTATCTTGAGGTTATCTTGAGATGATGTCGGGGCTTTGGTGTCCCCGCGGCTTGGTCCTCGACCAGGCCTCCAACCCCAGGAAGCAGCCCGTGACAGCTGACTAACACCCAGGTACCTATTTTACTGCTAGGTAACGGGGGCATAGGATGAAAGAAACTCTGCCCATTGTTTCTCGCCGGCGCCTGGGATCGAACCCGGGACCACAGGATCACAAGTCCAGCGTGCTGTCCGCTCGGCCGACAGGCTCCCTGACTGTGGGGTCAGGGCTAACCCTTACACTCCCCCATTCCTTACTCCCAATCCCTTACACTCCTCCCCCATCCCCCCTATTCTCTGCCACATCCTCCCCCCCCTTTACCCTTGATTAATAGTTGGCATTATTATTAAAAGTCCTAGCTGTTAGGGGTACTAGAGTGCGGGAGACCGGGCCGTGTTTACGAAGACTTAAAACATTAAAGGTGCAAAGTGGTCGTGAAGCTTTGGCACCTGATACGTTTGTGTGTGTGTGTGTGTGTGTGCGTGTGCGTGTGTGCGTGTGCGTGTGTAGTTGTGCTTGCACGGGGGGGGGGGGTTGATCTTTGGTTCTTTGGTCCCGCCTGTCAACTGCCAATCAACTGTATAAACTGTAAGTGTGTGTGTGCGCGCGCGCGTGCTTGAAAGGCGAGCTTCAGCTCCCGGGTTCCTCTATTTAACCACCGGTCGTCTACTGCAATATCTCCCGGCGCTCTCTTCCTATGGAACGTACTAATCTTACACTAAAGAAGAGTTTCCTTACTTCTCTATATAGCTGATCCAAGTCTGTGGCCTCCACCCATGTTCTCTCGTCCTGCTCCTGTTAATGCTGATCATTTGGTGATTTGCACTATGCTCACCAGCACGTGGCGAGTGAGGAAATCTTCGGAGCCGTCCCGCCAAACACACACCGAAACTACGACGTTGGTACAACGTCCGAACAAGTTTTAACACCTAACCAGTTATAACAACCAATATAGCAAGTTGTAACATCGTTCTAATACGTCATAAACACGTTAAGCCAAGTTGTAACAACTTTATTACAAGTTGTAACAAGCGGAAAATAGAGACGGTTTCGGTTTGTGTTTCCAGGGGTGAAGGGTCACCATTGACGCATGCATTAATCTCGATCCGGTCTAGTCGTCAATGCGTTTTTCCATCCTCTGTACCCCTTGAAATAGTTCCAGGTCGTACTTCAGATAAATATACGTGGATTTTATTGTCAATTGAAAGGAGAGGATTTGTCTTTGCTCTTGATACTGGTTAAATGAGAAAATTAAACACCACGACTCAAAAATATGTTTTTGCATATGATTAGAATTGGTCTATTTATGAGTTATATCTTGTGGAACCTATAGTTACCTTGGTGTGCCGCGGCACAGTGGTTGAAAAACGCTGCCCTGGGGTGACCCACGACGCCAGATCGATTCCACGGACTGTTCGAAAAAATCCACGCACTGCTTCAAAAATTCCACGCACTGTTCGAAAAATTCCATGCGCTGCTCGAACAATTCCACGCACTGCTAAACAAAAATCCACGCACTGCTAAAAACAAATTCCTCTCACTGCTCCAAAGACTTTTAATTTAGTGATTTGTGTATGGATGCTATAGCGAAAGAGTATTAGTTAATACTGAACGCACACGTTGTTGCCATGAGATAGCCCTGTTGTTATCTTTTATCTTGGTCATATAATACCTTCGCCTCTCTGTTTTTATCTCTCGTTATCTTTTTGCTCTCAAAGAGTACCTTGCGTAATGCTCTTCCTTCCCGGGTATCTACTTGCTCTTTTGGGGGCTTTTGTATTATCCATACAACTGTTAAACGTTGACCAGACCACACACTAGAAATTGAAGGGACGACGACGTTTCGGTCCGTCCTGGACCATTCTCAAGTCGATTGTGATGAGGACAGGTAGGGACAGGCATTAAACTGTTAAACGTGTTTTACACAAACAAAAAAAATGAGGGGCGACAGGCAAGAGGCATTAAATTGCAGGCCAGTGGTCCTAACTTATATACCATTCATGGTCATGGAGAAGATGGTAAGAAAAAAACTAGTAACACATCTGGAGAGAAGAGACCATTAACATGGGTTCAGGGATCGCAAATCTTGCCTATAGGTAGAATTCCACGATCAAGTGACAAAGATTAAGCAAGAAAGAGAAGGTTGGGCATATTGCAATTTCCTGGTCTGTCAGAAAGCCTTTAAAGCAGTACCCTATGAGGCTAGTGCATAGGTTGGAGAAACAGGTAAGATGCTTCATTGGATATGTAAAATTAAGCAGTTACTGTGATGGGTGAGACCTCAGAGTGGCAAGAAGTCACCAGACGACTCCCACAGGGTTCTGTACATGGACCTATCGTGTTTCTGATATACGTAAATAATCTTCGAGAGAGTATACACTCATACCTCTCAATGTTTGCTGACGATGCTAAAATTATATGAAGGATTAAGACAGAGGAGGAGGACAGCATGAGGCTACGATGATGACCTGGACAACCTGAAGGAAGGGTCCAACAAATGTCTATTAGAGTTTAATTCAAGCAAATGTAAAGTAGTGAAGATAGGTGTAGGGAGCAAGAAGCCAGATACAAGTACCATTTGGGAGACGAAATCCTTCAAGAATCAGGAAGAGAGAAAAATCTGGGGGTTGATATCATGCCGAATCTATCCTCTGAAGCCCACATTTAGAGGATATAATCAGCGGCATATGATAGGTTGGCCACCTTAAGAACTGCCTTTAGAAACTTGTGTAAGAAATCATTTAGAATCTTATGTACCACATAAGTCAGACCAGTCCCGGAGTATGCAGCGCCAGCATGGAGTCCGAATCTAGTCAAGCACAAGACTAAATTGGAGAAGGTTCAAAGGTATGCCACCAGACTAGTACCCGAGCTGGGGGGTATGAGCTACTAGGAAAGATTATGGGGACTAAACCTCTCGTTGTTGGAAGACAGAAAAGCATGGGGAGACATGATCACCATATATAAGTTTCTCAGAGGAGTTGATAGAGTAAATAAAGACATTTAACACAGGTAGTACACACACAAGAGGACACGAGAGGAAACCTAAAGAGTACCCAAATGACCCACAAAGACATTAGATATGTTTTTAAGTGTCAGAGAAGTTAATAAATGGAATACACTCGGCAGTAATGTGGTAGAGGCAGACGCCATTCACAGTTTCAAATGTAGATATGATAAGAGCCCAATAGATTCAGAATCTGTACACCAGTTGTTTGATGGTAGAGGTGGGACCAAAGAGCCGAAGCTCAACCCCACGGAAGTACAATTAGGTTAGTACACACACACACACACACACACACACACACACACACACACACACACACACACACACACACACACACCATAACCCCATCTACCGTTTAGTTTGATCTGTCAAGGTCCTATAAGTCTCAGCTGACAATAGAGCAACAGCTGACACACGTGTACCACAACTACCACCACTCTGCTACTGAGACCCACAGGAAGCTGGTGGTGAGGAGGGGCCCTTCCTAGGTAAACATGGGCCCCATGTTGGAAAGGTTTTTGTTTAGTCAGTAACTGTGCGAAATATTAGAAAGGTGGAACGCACCTTCACTTGTTTACTTCCTCACTCCCTCGCCTTCTGTCCCCCCCCCCCTCTCTCTCTCTCTCTCTCTCTCTCTCTCTCTCTCTCTCTCTCTCTCTCTCTCTCTCTCTCTCTCTCTCTCTCTCTCTCTCTCTCTCTCTCTCCTTCCCTCCCTTCCCTCTCCTTCCCTCCTTTCCCTCCCTCTCTCCCTCCCTCTCCCTCTTTCTCTCTTTTAATTCCTACCCATTCATCAAATCCTATTTTGCAATGCTCTACCTGCCTGTTTTTCTTAATATTTTCGATTTGGCGGGACAGCTAACAAGAATGTGTTAAGAATACGGTTTATCGCCCTCTCCTCTACTCTGCTTCACTTTCATTTGCCTCTTTCATCGATTTTCTGCTGCAGTTCCTCTGTACTTCATTACCTTCCCTTACTTAACATCCAGGCAATCCTCTCCCCTTCCGTTTTCACGTTCTTTATTCAACAGTTTCCTATTCCCATTCCTCAGTAGCATCCTGTTTACCTGCCTTGGCTTTTATTTTTCATACGTCCAAGCCTCCTGCATTTATTTCCCTACACACTATTAGCTTTATTTTTTATTTTTTATTGTTACCCTTCCCATTTACGTCTGTTCCTGCCATGCCATAAGGTAAACGAGTATGTGTTCATAGGCCTAACCTTTCATCTTATTCTCACGTTTCATATCTTTGAGTCCATTTTTTTTTTAAGCTGGGCTTCTCTCCTGGTACACACACACACACACACACACACACACACACACACACACACACACACACACACACACACACACACACACACACACGGACTAAATACTGTATTTAATTTGGAGGGATCTCCACTCACCTAAATGTCCTAGACTAAATGTGTACTCTCCTAGTGTGCTATGCTGGCTGTGTGTGGTAGGCCTGAGCTTCTGATCGTGTATGTGGGTAATGAGTCGAACTATAACTCCTGAGCCCCGTCTTTCCATCCGTCTGTCGCTAACACAATATATCTCGAACCTCTTTTTTTGTATTCTTTTAAAGCAGTTTAATGAGTTACGTCCTGCACTTAGCTCTAACCCATTCCACTTAACACCCATACTTGTAAGTGCTTCCTTACTGTGTTTCATCCGTTCCTTGTGTTCTTGTTTCGGCCTTCTAGTTTTACCATTCCACATACTGAACATGACTTCCATGCTCACTGGGACGACGGTTCACGGAACACTTACGTGCCTACTTACGAGACCTGTACGTGTTTAATACAAGCTAAGCCGCCTTGATCGAGCAAAGAGTTTACGAGGTTGGAAACACTGCGAGGTCGTTCTTGCCTTAAGGGTATTATTGTTACAACCTCGTAGCGCCTCGGGACTCATAAACTGTTTAGTCAACGTAAACCAGGCCGCCATGATTGAAGAATGATGAACGGGTTTCGTAAATGGACGTCATTTAAACACTTAATGACTCCCAGTATTTGTCTGGGAACCTTTATATGTTGTTATTATAATCTTAGGCATACCGTTACCCCGAGTAACACGAGGTTGAGCTCTCTGAACCTTGTTTATTGGTTAGTCCTCTTATTGGTTGGTCCTCATATTGGTTAGTCCTCTTATTGGTTGGTCCTCATATTGGTTAGTCCTCTTATTGGTTAGTCCAGGCCTTCAGGACTCTTACGTACAGGGTGTACAGTACTCTGAAAACCTTTTTTGCTAGGATTCCTAAATTCTACTGTTATGCTAGATTTGCATATGCCACTGATGTTATCTTGTTTTGTGTGCCTCAGGTGTTATGCTGAGGGTTGTGTGTGTGTGTGCCTCAGGTGTTATGCTGAGGGTTGTGTGTGTGTGCCTCAGGTGTTATGCTGAGGGTTGTGTGTGTGTGTGCCTCAGGTGTTATGCTGAGGGTTGTGTGTGTGTGTGCCTCAGGTGTTATGCTGAGGGGTGTGTGTGTGTGCCTCAGGTGTTATGCTGAGGGTTGTGTGTGTGTGTGCCTCAGGTGTTATGCTGAGGGTTGTGTGTGTGTGCCTCAGGTGTTATGCTGAGGGTTGTGTGTGTGTGCCTCAGGTGTTATGCTGAGGGTTGTGTGTGTGTGCCTCAGGTGTTATGCTGAGGGTTGTGTGTGTGTGCCTCAGGTGTTATGCTGAGGGTTGTGTGTGTGTGTGCCTCAGGTGTTATGCTGAGGGTTGTGTGTGTGTGTGCCTCAGGTGTTATGCTGAGGGTTGTGTGTGTGTGCCTCAGGTGTTATGCTGAGGGTTGTGTGTGTGTGCCTCAGGTGTTATGCTGAGGGTTGTGTGTGTGTGCCTCAGGTGTTATGCTGAGGGTTGTGTGTGTGTGCCTCAGGTGTTATGCTGAGGGTTGTGTGTGTGTGTGCCTCAGGTGTTATGCTGAGGGTTGTGTGTGTGTGCCTCAGGTGTTATGCTGAGGGTTGTGTGTGTGTGCCTCAGGTGTTATGCTGAGGGTTGTGTGTGTGTGTGCCTCAGGTGTTATGCTGAGGGGTGTGTGTGTGTGCCTCAGGTGTTATGCTGAGGGTTGTGTGTGTGTGCCTCAGGTGTTATGCTGAGGGTTGTGTGTGTGTGTGCCTCAGGTGTTATGCTGAGGGTTGTGTATGTGTGTGCCTCAGGTGTTATGCTGAGGGTTGTGTGTGTGTGCCTCAGGTGTTATGCTGAGGGGTGTGTGTGTGTGCCTCAGGTGTTATGCTGAGAGTTATGTACATGTTTGCCAGTAAGATTTTACAATGCTGTATTACTTAAGTGGGTCTAAAGTTGGTATTTAGGTGCCTGAAGGGAATATCTTAGAGTGATGACTCCACTTGTGGAGGGTTACTGACTCGCCCTTGTATCCTCTACCATCAGTTTTCTCTGTGCTGTCGTTCATCGGCGTCTCTTCACTCCGAGTTTGGGTCGTTCCTTGCTTGTGCTTCCCTCTAGCTTCAGCCTCATCATTCTTCGCTGAAGTGCACTGTTTGTCCCTGACTTTCCCATTCTGTTTGCCCTTCACTTACCCTTCGTCCTGCACTTTAATCATTCTCGAGGTCCTGTACTTATCCATTTATTGTATCAATACGCCCTGTAATTTTAGTTCAGTAGGCCCTTTCTTGTTTAGTTCCTGCCTTTGTGCCGAGACCAATTTGTAGTCGGTGTCTTCCCCCCCTTCTCTCTCTCTCT